GGTTATGATCCTTCTGAGGCTGCATCCCTGAATTCGACATGGGTAACGCCCGTCGTCCTCTTAGCGACTACCTTGTCAAGCAGGGTATTACTTATACCACGCAGATTTGAAAGGGGGAAGTATGAGATTACGACCCCGTTACACCGATTTCACCTTTCCATATTTCCTTTCTATTTCATTCCTCTTTTTCTCCTAATTCATTTGGTCTTTATCTCATCTTATTTGGTTTCCTATTCCTCATTTTCCATTATCCTTTGGTTTATCTTGTTATTATAATTATATCACCGACCAGACTCCGGATATACTGGTGCGCTATATCTAGTGTAATCCTGCCATAATCCCTTAAAGCCAATAGCCTCGCATGGCTATACGCAGTATGATTATATTTCTATATGAGTTTATTTCCTTTGGATATGATAAACCTAGATACCTGATATAGTGTGGAAGTATAAAAGCACCTGGTACTCATGGATAGTGCAACATTGAACAGACCTTATTCGATCTTGTGACAAGCAGCAGCTGCAGCCACCTCAGCAGCAGCAACAATAGTCGCAGCAGCAGCCGTGGGGACCCCCGCGGCCGAGGTGGCCTGGCGACACTGGCGGTGGCAGTCGTGGTGGTGGGCCGCGCAGCTCAATGTCAGATGGCAGCTCCTGTGTGGTCACTTGCCAGTGCCAGCTTCAGTCCGGCCCCCGCCGCGGCACCGTCTGTGGCCATCCCAGTCCCACCACCGCGCGCTGCTACCGCTGCCTCAACGACCTCTTCCGTTCCACTTCGGCCCCACGACGGACCCTCCCGACTGGTACAGCCTGGTGCGACGTCGTGTGCGTGTCTTTGAGATGGACATGGATCATATAAGGTCTGCTACGTGTTCCTCGGACACGAGCGGTATGCGATCTGTACCGAGGCCGCCACTGGTGCCCCTATGACCACGTTCCCGTGGGACCCTACATCTGGCCTGTTTACGCTTGACACTGCGTCTCCCCAGGTGAGGGCGGTCCCCCCAGGTGCCTGCATCGAACCAAGTCGCTGCGGCTTGCTCGTGTCGGTCCTTCACTCACCCGTTGCTTCTGTCGCACCATCGCCTAGGTTACCCCGCACTCCCGCGTCTGCGTCACATTTCGCACCATCGCCTAGGTCTCCCTGCATCGCTCCATGCTCTCCCTCTCTCGACTATGCCGCCATGCACGCCCTGCGTTGAGGGCCGGCGGCGCCGTGCTCCTCACTCCTCCTCACAGCCCCCTACCTCTGCGCCACTCCACACCATGCACCTAGACGTCTGGGGCCCAGCCCCCGTCCCTGGACCGCGTCGAGAGCGCTACTTTCTAGTGCTTGTCGATGACTATACGCACTACACCACGGTGTTTCCCCTAGAGCGGAAGGCCGATGTGCCTAACGTTCTAATCCCATCGGTCATAGCTGCGCGACTCCACCGTGCTGTGTCTTCACTTCGACTGTGGCGGCGAGTTCGCCTCCGGTCGGCTTGGCCAGTTCTGTCATACGGAGGGCATCACCTAGACGTACACCCTGCCGGACTCCCTGCAGCAGGATGGGGTCGCTGAGCGTCGCATCGGTTTGGTCATGGAGGTGGTTCGTACCTCCATGATCCATGCCAGTGCACCCCATTTTCTGTAGCCATTCGCTGTTCGCTACGCCGCTCACCAGATTAACCTGTGGCCACACTCCCAGTCGCCGCAGGTTTCGCCGACCCTCCTCTGGACTGGGTTCCCTGGTGACGCGTCTGCGTTCCATGTCTAGGGCTGCCTTGCTCACGTTCGTGCCTCTGGCACGGATAAGCTCACTGCCTGCATTGTCCCCTGTGTCTTCCTTGGTTTCCCCCTTGACACGTCTGACTGGCACTTTTACCACCCGCCGTCTCACAGCTTCTTTCACTCGCGTAATGTCATTTTTTATGAGTCTGTTTCCTTCTACCACCACTTTCCCCATCGAGGTCTCCCGATTTCCCCGCCCCTGTTTTTGGTTCCCACTCTTCCAGCAGCCCCTGCTCCACTCCCTCCACTTCCTGCCCCGTCTGGTGTGTCTCACGTGTCTCCCCTCCCGTCGGTTATCCCAATCGAGGAGTCGGCTGACTCTGGTGACCCAGCGGTGCCGTTCTCACCACCTGTCTCCGCCCCGGTGTCTCCTCCTCCGCCGTCGCAGCAGCGGCCGCTGTTGCCGCCGAAGCAGCAGCCGCAGTCGCCGCCGCTGCAGCAGCAGCCTCCGCAGGGGTCTGCGAGCTCTGGGGGTGCAGGCGTTGGGGAGGGTGCTAGTCCTGGGGTTCCTGTGGCTGCTTGTCCTGTTGGAGAGGGTTCTTGCTCTGGGGGTGTTGGCGTGGAGTGTCCCGGAGGTAGCCGTGGTGCCGCTGGAGGTTCTAGTGTCGGCGTGGAGCAGCAGCAGCAGCAGCAGTTGTCGCGGGTGTCCGCCCTTCGCCTCCTTGGTCTTCCCTCCCTTGACCACCCACCTGCGCCTACCCCGTCGCCGCCTCATCTTCCTGTCTATGGCCCTTTGTTTCCTCCGCTGGACTCGTCTTCGGCTCGTCTCCCCCCTCGTTCTCCTGCTGTGTCTCCTCCCTTGTCTCCTGACCCGACCCCACCTTCCTCTTGGTGGTCTCACGGCGCCTCTCGTGCTCACCCTATGTTGTTTCGTTCCCACGCGTCTCGTCCTCCCCTCCTCCCGTTGCCTCCTCCGTCGTCGCTTGTTGTCACTTCGCCTCCTTGGTCTGACTTCCTTTGTGCTGCTAGTCCTCTTGTTCCTCGGGTCCTTGCCTCCCTCGTTACCAACCCGTCTGTTCCTGTCTCGAGTCTTGATGATCTGGTCGCTGCCGTTGCTGACTTTGCCTCTACCTGCCGCCTTGACTACGCCACCGCTCTGGTCTCCGACCCTGCCCGTTTTCCGTCCGTCGGGGGTGCTCCTGCCCTCGGCAGTGACGTCCTGGAGGACCAATAGTATGAGCTCGCTTTCTTGTCCGAGGCTGCTCCTCATCTCTGCTCCATGCTGCTAGTCCCTGAGGGGGACCCAGTCGCCCCTAACATCCCGACCACTCGCACTTACGCAGAGGCGACCTCGGGACCCTGGGCCTCTTAGTGGATAGCTGCCATGGACGTGGAGATGGCAACTTGGAGATCCACCGGCACCTACATTGACACAGTTTCCCCACCTGAGGTGAACGTAGTCGATGGCTCTTCAAGGTGAAGCGCCCTCCTGGAGAGCCGTCGGTCTTCAAGGCGCGCTACGTGGCTAGAGGCTTCAGTCACCGCGAGGGTGTTGACTTCTTTCAGACCTTTGCTCCGACCCCGAAGATGACCACTCTTCGGGCGCTGCTACACGTAGCAGCACAGCGTGACTACGAGCTGCACTCACTCGACTTCTCCACAGCGTTTCTCCAGGGCAGACTGCACGAGCAGGTCTACATGCGTCGTCCGCCCGGCTTCACCGGCACCTTCGCCACTTGTACCGAGTGGCTCCTTCGACGATCAGTTTACGGCCTGCAGCACGCACCCCGTGAGTGGCACGATATGTTGCGTGCTACGTTAGCTGACCTGTAGTTCTTCCCGTCGTCTGCAGACCCTTCGCTCTTCGTTCGTTCAAACCAGACCCCGTTCTACATCCTTGTCTACGTAGACGACCTGGTCTTCGCTAATGCATGCAGAGATGCACTTGCCTCCTTGAACACCGAGCTGCTAAGCAGACACACTGGCACTAACCTAGGAGAGCTGCGCCGTTGCCTTGGCATGCAGGTCTCTAGGGACAGAGCAGCATGCACCATCAATCTCATACAATCACACTTTGTTTGCCAGGTCCTTCAGAGGTTCGGTGTTCAGTTCTCTTCCGCACAGCCCACACCTCTGCCAGTAGATCATAGGCTCTCGGCCTCAGTCGCTGAAGAGTCTGTAGAGCCTAGTGGGCCTTACGCAGAGCTGGTGGGTTGCCTCGTGTACGTGATGACTTGCACTCGTCCAAATCTCGCATACCCCTCTCAGCATTCTAGCTTGCTTTGTGGCCACAAGCAGACACCGACCATAGCACTGGTCGGCCGCTAAGAGGGTTTTGCGTTATCTAGCAAGTACATCGGGCATGGGGCTAGTGCTAGGAGGACGCTGGCCTATGGTCCTTACACAGCACATAGACGCTTCGTGGGCGGACGACGCTGAGTCGCTCAGGTTCTCCCAGGGCTACTGCTTTAGCCTTGGTGCAGGTGCTATCTCATGGAGGTCCACCCGTTCATCGTTTGTTGCCCAGTCTAGCTGTGAGGCAGAGATCTACGCTGGTGCCATGGCGGCACAGGAGCTCCGCTAGCTGACTTTCTTGCTCACAGACTTAGGTGAGCGGCCTAGCTCTGCCCCGGTCCTGTACACTGACAACAGGGCCATGATCCTCCTGTGTCAGGAGCCTCGATTTGAGGGCAGAGCGAAGCACATCCAGTTGCGGTACTTCCTCCTGCGCGAGCTACAGCAGCGCCGCCAGACCCGCGTAGTTCACTTGGCCTCCGGTGCCAACACAAGTGATATCTTTACGAAGGCGCTTGCGCGTAAAGATCATCAGCGGCACTGTGTACAGCTTGGTCTAGTGCCTGTAGCTTCTCACTTGCTAGGACCTTGAGTGTGTACTATATCTTACATTATGTTGATTGGCCTTGTGGCTGCTATTCCAGTGGCTGGACTAGTAGTGCCGCCCTGAGTTACTCCTGTTTCCTTTGTACTCTTGCTGACTGGTCTTCAGACCCTTGCCTCGGAGGTTGGACTAGTAGTGCCACCTTGAGGTGCATGTCCTTTGCTAGTCGTTGCCCCTTGTCTATTTTGTATATGTTATAGGCTAGATAAGTGCACGCTCATAGAGGGTACAACACCTTAGCTTATATCCCTTGTACCCCATCTTTCTAGTCACTTGTTAACTCTGAGATTCAGGATTTGAGTGGGTCGTTTGTTCACACACCATCTCTCACCTCTCTTTCGGTTTCAGGATGTGCGGGATTGGCAGCATTGCAATAGGACCTGGTCCGCCTGAAATTTGCTCAAAAGTTTTGTAGCTTTCTGGCTTATACAGAATGTTGATTGTAACTAGAAGTTGGCTACAGGACAGAATAACGGGTTTTGATAACTGTTGAACGTCATTTTGCTAGCGAAGACTGCGGGAAGAGTAGGGAGGAGGGCAGGGAGCAAGCTGGGGCAGCAGCAGCATCCTTATATTCAAAAGTAGCAGCGCCGTTGGCAGCACCATTGCTGCTAATGGCACCATTGGAGGAAGTGCTGCTAATGGCAGCGTTGGAGGGACTGCCAGAGCAGAGGCACTGGCAGAACTGATCCGGGTCCATTGGGATTGCCTCTGGGAGGGGGTAGTCCGGCAGGATACCCACCTGAATTCAAGAATAAATGGGGGAAATTGGAGTTGGGAGGGAACAGAAACAAAACAGAAGATGAGCCCCCCAGATAAACCACAGGAGTCCACGGCGGCACCCGATCGCGGTGTCTCAAAGTAGCACCACCAACAGAGTTGGAGGGACTGCCAGAGCAGAGGCACTGGCAGAACTGATCGGGGTCCATTGGGATTGCCTCTGGGAGAGGTAGTCTGGCAAGATACCCACCTGAAATCAATAATAAATGGGGGAAATTGGAGTTGGTATGGAAGAGAAACAAAAGATACAAGATGAGCCCCCTATAAAGACCATTAAAGTCCACGGTGGCACCAGATCGCAACGTCTCAACAGCAACACCACCAACACCATTAGAGGAACTGTTGCTAGTGGCAGCGTTGGAGGGACTGCCAGAGGAGAGGCCAGAACTGATTCGGGTCCATGTGGATTGCCTCTGGGAGAGGGTAGTCTGGCAAGATACCCACCTGAATGAGGGGTACATGAGATACAAGGGAGAACACGCCCCAAGTCAAGGAACATCTGAAGTAGAAAGAAGCGCCATCACCAAAGGTCACTCATCATAGCAAGACATGGTGTCTGCAATCATTTTTCATTGCCAGCAGCAGCCGACATCGGAGAAAACGGCATTCTTTCCTTGTCAATGTCGTCGGTGTGCCTGGGTATCTCGCAGCAAGCGATGGTCACTGCAAGCCCCGTCAAGCAAAGCAACCCATTCCCCCAAACATCAGCATTCTTACCTTGTCAATGGCAGTGTGGTCGGGTGTCTCATAGCGAGCGATGGTCACCGCAAGCCCCAGCCAGGCAGTCAGGCAAAGCAACCCATTCCCCCAAACATCAGCATTCTTACCTTGTCAATGTGGGTGGGGCCGGTTGCCTCATAGCGAGCCATGGTCATCCGGCAAGTCTCGATCCTTCCGTCAAGAAAGGAAAGCCATTCCCCCGAACATCACCCATTCCCCTGAAGTTCATATTTCTTACCTTGTCAATGTCGGTGTGGTCGGGCGTCTCATAGCGAGCGATGGTCACTGCAAGCCCTGATCCGTCCGACAGCTCAAACACGGATTGGATCTTGCTGTAAAGGGTACAAGTAAAGAGGGAAGGCGGGAGGGGAGGGGAGGGCGAGTGATAGCGAGTGCGAGAGAGAGAAAGGAGGGACGCAAGGGAGAGGAAAGTGAAGGAAATTGAGACAAAGGGGGGGGGCGGGGAGAGATAAGGCTGAAAGGTAAGGGAAGCATAGGAAAGGAAAGGAGGCAATTTTTCTGGCTGCACATATTTTTTTCTTGTGGGTAGTGGGAGGAGCTCCTCTCACTCTCACCCCTTTTCAAACGCCTCAGCTTTTCCCACACCTCTGGCGAGCCTCTCACTCATTGGCAAGCAACACTAGAACGTAAACACGAAACCCCTTTTTTCGAGGCTCTCTCACCCCTTGCCGAAGGTCGGTTCTCCGAAGACAAGAGCCCGGTTGTTGTCCTTCAATGCTCCTGCCAGGATCTCACTGGCACTAGCTGTGCCCTTATTCACCTGGGAGAGGGTGGGGGGAGGCGAAGTGAGCAAAGATGCTTGAGCTACCTGAGGCTTCTGAAGATTGCGTCGTGAACTTTTCTGAACCATAGAAAGCACGCGAAGCTACCTTTCTCGTTCAGGTGTGCGTAGGATTGTGTCTTTTGGGTTCCTCAAAGCTTCCACGGACCTAATTTTCTTGTTCAGCTGTGCGGCGATTTGCAGCTCACCAGCACAGCGAGAGGTTGAGAGGTGGCAACGGCACCCTCCCCGTTGGTCTCATACACGTCCCGCACTCCGAGGCTGTCCGTGATGTAGACCAGCACGCCCTTGTTTAACCTAAATAGACGAATGGGGGAAGCGGAACAAGAGGAAAACATGTTGAGTCGACTCAAAGGGTATCACACCTTGCAAGTGTGCCTTGCGACTATCATCACTCAATCTCCTGGGGTTTAAGCTTTCGCACTGACTCCCATTACATCCGTGTGGAGAGTTGACTCAAAATACACCCGAGATTGAAGCTTTCGCACTGATTCTCACTGAAAGTATATTTTGAGTAAACGTAAAAAATATCCGGTCTTCAAGGGATTTGCGCTGATTCCCATTGCATATGGCACCTGGCTTAGATTCAAAGCTCACCACATCTTGGCTGATGGGACAAGGAAGCCCTCGGCGGTTGTTGCAGATGTGAAATTGGCTTCTAACGCATCCCATCTGTCGAAGACTTGCCTTTGCGCACCTGCATTAAGAGTTAAGCTCACCACATCTTGGCGATCTCGATGGCGGATGGGAACAGCCTTCCGCTGTTGTTGCGGATGTGGCCTTCAGCTTCTACCTCACCATATCTTAATGCCTTGATTTGGGAGCATGCGCCTGCCTCTCATCCCCAGCTCACCACATCTTGGCGATCTCGATGGCGGATGGGAAGAGCCCTCCGCTGTTGTTGCGGATGTCCAGAATGAAAGCCGTGGCCCCCTCGTCACTCAGCTGCTGCAGGGCGTGCTTTAAAGCGCCTGATACCAAGGTAAGGGGAGTGGAATGGGGGCAGGAGGGTTGAGTTGATGTGTTGTGAGGGACTGAACCCTCGCCTCAAAAGCGGATGTCCAGAATGAAAGCCATGGCCCCCTCGTCACTCAGCTGCTGCAGGGCGTGTTTCAAAGCGCCTGGGAAAGGGGGAGGGGAGGTTAAGGGTAGTGGTGAGCTGCTGTGAGCAAACGAGGGAGAATGAGGCGCGCCAGAGGCAAGTATGTCTGGAATGAAAGCCGTGGCCCCCTCGCCACTCAGCTGCTGCAGGGCTTGCTTCAGAGCGCCTGGGAGAGGGGGGAGGGGAGGGTAAGGGTAGTGGTGAGCTGTTGTGAGCAAACAAGGAAAGAAGGCATGAATCATGAGGTGCGGCAGAGACACGTATGTGTGGAATGAATGCTGTGGTGTGCTGTAGTGTGGTGTGGTGTGCTGTGCTGTGCTGTGCTGTGCTGTGCTGTGGTGTGCTGTGGTGTGGTGTGGTGTGGAACCTTCGCCAGTCATCTCAGCTGCTGCATGCAGGACTTGCTTGAGCGCGCCTGGGAAAGGGGTGGGGTAAAGGAAGGGCAGAGCAGTGAGTAAATCTGTTGTGAGCAAACAAACGAGGAGAGCACAAGTTACCATGCCGTCTAATAACAAAGGGCAAACGTACTTGAGGAGTTCTGATTGAAGCTCGTCAGGAGGATGTACCCCACCCGAACCTCCTCCTTGCTGCCTGCCAGAGCCACACCACCACTAGCACTGTCTGCAGCTAAGTGGGCAAATTCGTTGGCGTCCCCCAGCGTTTTGCGTAAATTCGTAAGCGTAAATTCGCAAACGCGAATTTACCTGAAATTCGCGAAACGCTGGGGACAAATTTTCGGGGCAGCCCGGACAAAAAAACACAAAATTTTCCACTCGATTCGCGACGACTTGGCGATGCCATCCGTTGCCTCGCCAATTCGCGATTCTAACTTTTGAACCTTCTAACATGCACCCAACCCCTCCCACGCTCCCAACCGTGGGGGATGTGTGAGTATGGTTTCTAATGGTGCTGTAGGTTGCTGCAGGGCTGTTGTTGCGAAGGATCCCCCCCAAACTCTCGAACATGCTATTGCCATAAACTTTGAGAAGCAATATATATTTTGTGCTAAATTTTTCTTGTTTGAAAGAGTTGCCCTGAAACCCCCCATGCCCCCCCTACCTGGGAAGTTTTTTTTGGGCCTGCCCGGGTTTTTTTTTCCTGCCCGGGCGGAACGAATTTCCTAACGAATTTAAAACAGGGCCCTGGCGTTCGGCGAATTTACGCCAGCGTAAATTCGTCAGCGAATTTACGTGAAACGCGAATTTTCCCACTTAGGTCTGCAGCAGCACTGTCAGGCGGATGCAACCCACCCCACCCGAACCTTCTCCTCACTGCCTTCCAGAGCCACGCTACCACCACTAGCACTGTCCGCAACGTGTGTAACCTTGCTCTTGAGACGTCTCACAACACAGAACATACGTACTTGAGGAGTTCTGGTTGAAGGTCGTCCGGCGGATGTACCCCACCCCAACCTTCTCCTTGCTGCCTGCCAGCCAGAGCCAGACCGCCACTAGCACTGTCCGCAGCACGCGTAGCTATGCTCGTGAGACGTCTCAGAGTGGACGGCATACGTACTTGATGAGTTCTGGTTGAAGGTCGTCAGTCGGATGTACCCCACCCGAACCTTCTCCTCGCCGCCTGCCAGAGCCAGACCTCCAGTAGCACTGTCCGCAGTACGGGTAACGAGGCTCGTATTGCTGCCGAAGCTGCCTGCCGAACCAGCCCCTGAGGTTAGGAGGACTGCCGAGGCTTGCCGAGAGAGGTCGCAGGTTCGGAAGATAACGGGGTTGAGGGAGACCTTCTGGCGGGTGAGGGTGAAAGTAAGCTCTTGCTGCTGTTCCTGCTGACTCTGCTGCTGCTGCTGCCTCCCCCTTTGCTGCACGGCTGGCTTGATCTCTCCCCGTTGCACTGTGAGCTGGACTTGAGAGTCAGCAGGACCCCTGGTAGGGTAAGCAGGGGTGATGGGGGGTGAAGACAATGGGGTTGAGTTGAGAGAGACCTTCTGGCGAGTGAGGGTGAAAGTGAACTCCCGCTGCAGGTCAAGCAAGGGAAAAGCAGCAGCAGCAGAATCAGCAGGAACAGCAGCAGGAACGGCAGCAGGAACAGCAGCAGGAGCAGTGGCATGGCGGTGATAAGGGAGGTGACAGAGTTAGCCCCATAGAACCAGAAACCGTTAGAGCACACCCACTGCAGCCCCACTGCACCCCCACTGCTCACTGTACCCAGAAAATGCTTCAGGACTCCCAAAAACATAACCGACATCACACCCCTTGAGAGCTCAAACCCCACTCCCTGCAGGCGTTGCACCACGTTGCACAGGCCAAGTCCCTCCACCGCCTCCCCAGTCACAATCTTATCGTTCAGAACAACCCCCGCCCTGTCTGCTGACCCCCCACACCGGCACCGGCGTCACCACCACGAGGTGAGCCCAGCTCGAGCTCCACGCCGGTGAGCTCGCCCATACACCACCAATAACCCAGCCAACTTCATCAAGAACCCCCCTACCAGCAGGGCCTAGGAAAACCCTCACAGAAACCCCACTCACTGCAGTCACTGCGCCGCGTCGTACAGCCCAAGTCCCTCCACGGCCGCCCCATCCACTCTCAGAATCACGTCCTTGGGAGCCACGCCCGCCCTGTCCCCGCTGCCCCCCCCCCCCAAGAACAAGGACTTAAGAACCCAAAACCCTGACACCCAACTCACTGCAGTCGTTGCGCCGCGTCGTACAGGCCAAGTCCCTCCACGGCCGCCCCATCCACTCTGAGAATCACGTCCTTGGGAGCCACGCCCGCCCTGTCCGCTGGGCCCCCCGGCACTGGCGCCACCACCACGAGCTGCCTCCCGTCCGGCGAGAAGCCCAGCTCGAGCCCCACGCCTGTGAGCTCGCCCTGCGTGCCGGCCTTGAGCGAGCGGAACTTGCCCGGCTCAAAGAAACGCGTGAAGGGGTCGTCTAGGGAGGCCAGCATCTTGCGAATCGCAGCATCTGGTTTGGGGGGAGGAGGAGGGGAGGAAAGTGTGGGGGGGGGAGGAGTAGAGGAGGGTGCTTATCTGCTGGTTTTCCCAATTCAAACGGCTGCCAATACCACCACAAACAGCCAGGTGCCTCCCATCCGGCGAGAAGCCCAGCTCGAGCCCCACGCCTGTGAGCTCGCCCTGCGTGCCGGCCTTGAGTGAGCAGAACTTGCCCGGCTCAAAGAAGCGGGTGAAGGGGTGGTCCACGGAGGCCAGCATCTTGCGAATCGCAGCGTCTGGGTGGAATGGGGGGAAGGGAATGGGAGGGAGGGGATGGTGGGGAGGGGATGGGGGGGAGGGAATGGGGGGAGGGAATGGGGGGAAGGGAATGGGGGGGAGGGAATGGGGGGAAGGGAATGGGGGGGAGGGAATGGGGGGAAGGGAATGGGGGGGAGGGAATGGGGGGGAGGGAATGGGAGGAAGGGAATGGGAGGAAGGGAATGGGGGGGAGGGAATGGGGGGAAGGGAATGGGGGGGAGGGAATGGGGGGGAGGGAATGGGGGGGAGGGGAGGTAGTGGAGGTAGGGGGGTTGGGAAGGCAAGACTTGAGCGAACGGAACTTGCCCGGCTCAAAGAAACGCGTGAAGGGGTCGTCCAATGAGGCCAGCATTTTCCGAACCAAATAGCAGCATCTGGGTGGGAAGGGGAGAAGGTATTGGGGGGAGAAGGGATTTGGGGGGGGAGGTAAGGGGGTGGGAGGGAGAGACATGAGCGAGCGGAACTTGCCCGACTCAAAGCACTGCGTGAAGGGGTCGTCCAGCGAAGCCAGCATCTTGCGGATTGCAGTGTCTGGTGAGGGGCAAAGGGGGACAAGGGTCAGAGGAGGACACAACGCCAGAAACAACGGCAGGGGGGGGGGGGGGGGGGGGGGGTCTGCAGCAGGAAGGAAGGTACGAGGGGGGAAGCAAGCAAGTCCATGAGTCATATGGTCATATGGTCATGGGTTCCTTCCTCAGTGATAGTTTGCGGCTTTTCATGGGCTCTTTCCTCAGCGCCAGGTCGTGGTACCAGAACCAGCTCTGCCCGTTGAAGCTCTCACTTACCTATGCACGGTCAACATGCTTCTGTGCATTTCTATTCACAGTCGCAGATGAACGAAAACACCAGGCACGCACATGTCTGCTCGCGGTTGTTCATGGGCTCTTTCTTGAGCGCCTGCTCGCGGTATCGGAACCAGCTCTGCCCGTTGAAGCTCTTGTCCACGTACGCGCGGTCCACCACCCTCCACGCCTCTAGAAACACTAGGTTCTCCTCCGTTAAAGCCCCTGGGAGTGGGACGAGTAAGGAAACACTTGCACGTCAATCAAGTTGCTGTGCGTGGGCGGGAGAATGTGGCACCGGAACCAGCTCTGCCTGTTGAAGTTCTCGTCCACGTATGCACTGTCCACCACCCTCCACGCCTCCAGAAACACTAGGTTCTCCTCCGTCAAAGCCCCTGGGAGTGGGACGGGGCGAAGGAATGAGATAGCCCTTTAATCAAGTTGGTGTGTGTGGGAGGCGGGCTAATCAAGGGGCTCAAACGTCCACATACACACGGTCGTCCACCCTACACCTCAAGAAACACAAGTTTTTCCTCTGGCAAAGCCCCTTTGTATGGGTGAAATGAAGTGCCCCGAACATCCACACACGCACGGTTTACCACCCTCCACGCCTCCTGAAACACAAGATTCTCCTCCGCCAATGCCCATGGGTGTGGAATGAGGAAAGAAATCAACTCCCCCCCTGTACTGTACAGCCCCTGTGTATGGGAAATCGCATGTTGTAGGTGCTCGAAAAGTCCCCATGCTTCACCATCCTCCTCGTTTCCAACAACAGATTTCTAATGCTCTGGAAATTCGTCTCCGTTAGAGCATTGACCAGTACATGAAAGTTACGAGCCTGTACGGATTGGCCAACGAGAGAAAGACGGGTATACGAAGCGACAGAGCAACAGCAAAGGATAGGTTCCAACTTGCTCAGGCCACGGGGAAGGACACGAGTCACAAGGCCAGCAGAACAGCCGCTGCCATGGTGCCGATGAACAGGCTAAGATCAACCAGGAGAGAGAAACGGAGAGGAGGCGCCAGACAGAGACCAGGAGCATGGGAGAAGACCTTACGTGCTTGGCCCACGGGGAAGGACACGAGTCCCACCGCCAGCAGAACGACGGCTGCCATGGTGCCGATATATTGTCTCCAGCCAATCTCGGCAGTGCCTGCTGCGTTGCTTCCGCCTTTGCCGTCATTCACGCCGCTGCTGCTCCTGCTGCGGTTGCTTTCGTTGCTGCTCTGGCGATTGCCGCTGCTGGTGCGGCTGCTGCTGCTTTTGGAGGATCTGGCCTGAGAGATTGAGCTTACGATGTGGCTTCTAACAGCCGTGACATCACGAAAATTTGAAGGAAGGATGGGAGCGGCTGGAGACATTTGGGTACGATCATTGTCGTGGAGCCCTTGGGAATGTCGCGCGGTTGAACTTAAACGGCACGTCCTGCTGCTGGATGCACTATTTAGAGAAATAGGAGAGGTATAACGAGGCTCGTTGAATAGCGGATTAAGTGGTGTGTACCGCGAAAGAGCAAAGGAGGCGTGGAAGCGGTTCCGTGGGAAGGGAAGCGGAGAGCTTTGCGAAGATCGCACTGAGGTTCGCGAAGTTTGCGAAGAGCATTGCGAGGGTCGCGAAGAACGCTGCGACGAACGTTGACAGTATTCCTGGGAGGCAGGACTGAGTCTCGCTGATGATGTCACATCGGCGCGCAGCGGAATGCAGCACGCCATTTGTGGGTAATGGCTAACGGGAACCAGGGAGAAAGCGATACTAGTAGTTGGAATATTTGCAAACAAAAATCACATAAAATGTGGGAAATTTGAAAAGTACGCTGGCAATAAAATCAGCTCTCTAGGCTCCAGCGGACGTTGTTGCACAGGCGAGAAAGATATTAAAGTTGAAGATAACCGTAGAAGAGATCTTCGCGTCAGCACAGCGTACTTATCGTCGCCGCGCTTCAAGGGAAGTTAAATGCCAAGCGGCTCCCACGTAATGAATCTCCTTCGCAATCCTCGCTACGCCTATCGTCCTTTCCTACACGCTGGTATCAGTACCTACTATTTTATGGCTACCTGGTGTTGATTCAAGTGTGGCTGGACAACCAAGTAGAGAACTAGCCGTTGCTCTTGGCAGCCACAGTCTGTCAGGGCGCGTTTACCATCGCTCAGTTCAGGTCGATCATATAGTGGTAATTTGGTTCGTAAAGGTTTGGCCCTGGCTAGGCGGAACAATGGCCTAAAACCTACCCTCAATTTTGATTCTTCGTCAAAGTACACCTGGCATAGAGGCTGAATCGTAGCATAAATTACGTACAACCACGTCCCAAAGGACGCTCTGACCCTTTGGGATTGGATCAGCGTGGCAGCACCGAGAGCCACATGTCAGAACCAGCAACCAAACTGGATAAACGCGCAAGTATAGAAACAAACTGTTTCTTATATATTCAACTAGATCTAGTCAATCAATTACACTATGTGCCTTGTGTGTTAGAATAGGGAAATAGGGTTTAGCTAGGTAGGAGAAAGTAGCGAGAGAAAAGAGGGCAACTAGAGAAGAGAGAGAGGTACAAGAGAAGTGTTGTCCCCTCTACAGTAAGAGCCAGTACCAGTAGCGCACCTACCTAGCCTACACATACATATCTATAAAATATGTATGTTGACACACCCCCTACGCTTGGTAGGCGCTACTCACAGAAGCAAGAGACCAGGGCAGCACTGCTAATATGTCCACTGGTATGAGTAGCAAGAAGAGGTCACACCACGCACCCAGCACCCCCAAGCCCTAACACCCTCATACACAGCAGCAGCGGTGGCTTCTTCAGCTCGTTTGACCTCTCGGTGTGCGAGGCGGCGACGTCAGCGGCGGGGGCAGCGGCGACGACGACAGCAGCGGTGGCGGAGCCAGCGGTACCTGCGGCGGCGGCGGCGGCGGCGGAGACCACGGCACCCGGTGGCGTGGCACGACTCTGCAACGACGGGGAAGGACGGTACAAAACAACAATCAGCTGCGGCGGGGAGGAGGGGAGACGCAGGGGAGGGGGCAGGTCTTCGGCGGTGGAGCCATTTAGCGAGGTACCAAGTTGTACACAGTGCCGATGATAATCTTTAAGCGCAAGCGCCTCAGTAAAGATATCAGCTGTGTTGGCACCAAAGGCCAAGTGTACTACGCAGGTCTGGCGGCACTGCTGTAACTCGCGCAGGAGGAAGTACCGCAGCTGGATGTACTTCGCTCTACCCTCCAGTCAAGGCTCCTGACAAAGGAGGATCATGGCCCTGTTGTCAGCGTATAGGGCAGGGGCAGAGCTAGGCCGCTCACTTGAGTCTGTACGCAAGAAAGTCAGCCAACGGAGCTCCTGTGCCGCCATGGCACCAGCATAGATCTCAGTCTCACAGCTAGACTGTGCAACAGATGAAGAGCGGGTGGACCTCCACGAGATGGCGCCTGCACCAAGGCTAAAGCAGTAGCCCTGAGAGGACCTGAGCGTCTCAGCGTCGTCTGCCCACAAAGCGTCTGTGTGCCCTGTAAAGATCACTGGCCTGCGCCCTCCTAGCACTAGCCCCATGCCCGATCTACTGGTTAGATTATGCAAAACCCTTTTAACGGCTGACCATTGATGTGCTCGGTGTCTACCCGTGGCCACAAAGCGAGCCAAGATGCTGAGAGGGTATGCGAGATCTGGACGAGTGCAAGTCATCAGGTACATGAGGCAACCCACCAGCTCCGCGTAAGGACCACGAGGCTCTATAAACTCCTCAGGGACTGGAGTCGAGAGGCTGTGATCTACTGGCAGAGATGTGGGTTGTGTGGAGGAGAACTGAAAACCGAATCTCTGAAGGACCTACCGTACCAAGTGTGACAGTGTGAGACTGATGGTGCACGCTGCTCTTTCCCTGTAGATCTGCAGGCCAACGTAACGGCGCAGCTCTCCTAGGTCAGTGCAGGTGTGTCTCCTTAGCAGCTCAGCCTTCACGGAGGCCAGTGTGTCTCTGCCTGGAGTAGCAAAAACGAAGTCGTCTACGTAGACAAGGATGTAGAATGGGGTCTGACCAGAACAAACGAAGAGCGAAGGGTCTGCAGACGATAGGAAGAACTGCAAATCAGCTAACGTAGTACGCAACGTATCGTGCCACTCACGGGGTGCCTGCCGCAGGCCGTAAACCGGGCGCCGGAGGAGCCATTTAGTCCCAGGGGCGAAGGTGCCAGTGAAGCCTGGCGGACAGCGCAGGTAGACTTGCTCGTGTAGACTACCCTGGAGAAATGCAGTCGAGAAGTCGAGGGAGTGCAGCTTCTAGTCATGCTGTGCTGCTACATATAACAGCGCCCGAAGAGTGGTCATCTTCGGGGTAGGGGCGAAGGTCTGAAAGAATTCAACACCCTCGCGCTGACTAAAGCCTATAGCAATGTAGCTCGCCTTGAACACCGGCGGCTCTCCAGGAGGGCGCTTCACCTTGGTGGGGGAACTGTATCGACGTAGATTCCGGTGGATCTCGAAGATGCCATCTCTACATCCATGGCAGCTATCCACTGAGAGGCCCAAGGTCCCAAGGTCGCCTCAGCGTAAGTGCGAGGGGTCGAGATATCAAGGTCACCCTCCGGGACTAGCAGCATGGAGCAGCATTGAGGAGCCCTTTCAGAAAAGAAAGCTAGCTCGAATTGCCTGTCCTCTAGGACGTTACTACCAAGGGCAGATGCACCCTCGACGGACGGAGGATAGGCATGGTCAGAGACCGGAGCGGTGGCGTAGTCAAGGCTGCGGGTAGAGACAAAGTCAGTGACGGCAGCGACAAGAGCCGAGAGACTAGAGACAGGTTCAGACGGGTCGGTAACGAGGGAGACGAGGACACAAGGAACAAGAGGACTAGCGGCACGAAGAAAGTCAGCCAGAGGAGGCGAAGAGACAACAAGCGACGACTGGGGAGGCGACGGGAGGAGCAGAGCACGAGACGCGTGAGAACGAAACAATATAGGGTGAAAGCGCTGAACAGGAGAAACAAGATGAGAACAAAAGGCACGGTGAGACACTGTAGGAGAACGAGGGGGGAAACGAGCCGGGGACGAGTCAGACGGAGGAAAGACAGGTTCATAGACAAGCGGGGGAGGTAGCGGCGGGAGAGGTGCAGGCGGGTGGTCGGGGAAGGGAAGACCGAGGAGGCAAAGGGCGGACACCGGCAGCGACTGCTGCTGCTGCTTCTCGTCGACACCAGAATCTCCAGCTGCACCACGGCTACCTCCGTGACGCTCCACGCCAACACCCTCGGGACGAGAACCCTCTCCAACACCGGTGCCACCCCCAGGGCCGCCGGGACAAGCCACGACAGCATCCCCAGGACTAGCCCCTCAGAACGAGAAACCTCTCTAGCATCCGTGCCACCCAGAGGACCGTCGGGACAAGCCACAACAGTACCCCCAGGACTAGCACCCTCCTCAATGCCCGCACCCCCAGAGCCCGCAGACCCCTGCGGCAGCGGCGGCTGCTGCTGCGGTGGCGGCAGCGGCTGCTTCGGCGGCTACGGCGGCGACGGCAGCTGCTGCTGACGGCGGAGGAGGAGACACCGGGGCGGAGACAGGCGGCGAGACCGGAGCTGCAGGACCCCCAGAGTCAGCCGACTCCTCCGCTGGGACAACCGGGGGAAGGGGAGTGACGTGAGACACACCAGATAGGGCAGGACGGGGAGGGGGAGGAGCAGGGGCTACCAGGGGAGTGGGGACCAAGAACAAGGGCGGGGTAACTGGGAGACCTCGGTGGGGAAAGCGGGTGTAGAAAGAGACAAACTCGTCAAAAGTGATGTCACGAGAGTGAAAGAAGCGGTGAAATGGCGGGTGGTAAAAGTGTCAGTCAGACGCATCGAGGGGAAGCCAAGGAAGACACAAGGGATAGTGCGGGTAGTGAGCATGTCCGTGCCAGAGGCATGAACGTGAGCAAGGGAACCCAAGACGTGGAATGCAGACACGTCACTTGGAGACTCGGTCCAGAGGAGGGTCGGCGAAACCTGCGGCCGCTGGGAGTGCGGCCACAGGTTAAGATGGTGAGCGGCGTAGCGAACAGGGAACGGCCACAGAAAATGGGGTGCACCGACATAGATCATGAAGGTACGGGCCACCTCCATGACCAAACCGATGCGTTGTTCAGCGACCCTATTCTGCTGCGGGGAGTACAGCAGGGTGTACGACTGGGTGATGCCCTCCGCACGATAGAACTGACCAAGCCGTCCGGAGGCGAACTCGCCGCCACAGTCAGAGTGGAGACGGAGCACAGGGAGGCCGCGGTAGACCCGCGCAGCTACGACCCACGGGATAAAAACGTCATGCACGTCGGCCTTCTGCTCCATGGGAAACACCCTGGTGTAGCGCGTGTAGTCGTCAACGAGCACTAGAAAGTAGCGCTCTCGACGCGGCCCAGGGACGGGGGCTAGGCCCCAAACGTCCAAGTCCAGGGTATGGGGCGGCGCAATGGTGGGGGGAAAAGAGGAGGAGTCAAGAGCATGGTTCTGCTGGCCCTTTACGCAGGGCGTGCACGGCGGCGCGGGGGAGGGAGGGAGGGCACGGAGCGACGCAGGGAGACCTAGGACAAGACCGTGCTGGGACATGTCACGCAGACGCGGGAGTGCGGGGTTACCTAGGCGGTGGTGCCACAGAAGCGTCAAGTGAGTGAGCGACCAACACGAGCAAGCCGCATCGACCTGGGTAGACGCAGGCATCTGGGGGGACACCCCCACTGGGGGGGACGCATTGTCCAGCGTGAACAGGCCAAACACCGGGTCTTGTGGGGACGTGGTGAGGGGGGCACCTGTGGCGGCCTCTGTACAGACAGCGTACCGCTCGTGACCAGGAAACGTAGTGGTGACGCCGAATTCCTGAAGACAGCCGACACCAACTAGGTTCCTCAAGAACGAGGGGATGTGCAGGCTTATAAGGGAGCCCGAGGGAACCGTCAGATAGTGGAGCTACATGCAACTACCAGACCTGAGCACGGGTCAGCAAGCGCGACAGCGGCAGGGGCGGCAAGCGGTGTAAGCGCAGTGTGGTCGCGGAAGAAGCAGGCACACACACCAAAGTCTAGCGTGAAGGAGAGAGCAGCGGTAGCGTCAGCCGGTGCAGGAGCTAGCGTAGAGCCAAGGCTAAACAAGGCAGGAGGTCCTACCCTTGACGCAGCAGGGGAGCCAAGACCACATACAGTGGACACACCTATACTAGGCAACACAGGGTAATACGGTTCAGTCACACTAGAGTCATCAGCATACATGGCATACACACTAGAGCAAATCCGATCCATATCCATCTTAAAGACCGGCACACGGCAACGTACGAGACCGGGCCAGTCGAGGAGGTTCGGCGCAAAGCCGAAGCGGAGACGGAAAAGGACGTCGAGGCGGCGATAGCAGCAGGCGATGGTGTGACCAGTACGGCCACACACAGTGCCTCGAAGGGGCCAGACTGGATCTGGTATTGGCAACTCACAGAGCTGAAGCTGCCACTCGACGCCGAGCTGCAAGGGCCGCCACTGCGCCCACCACCACCAGAGCCGCCGGGCCACCCTGGTAAGAGGCGGCCCCACGGCTGCTGCTAATTTTGCAATTGCTGCTACCGCTGCTGCTGCTGCGTCTGCTGCTGGTGCTGTTCCGGGGGATCAACCCTAGTCCCCTCGTCGATACTGCCGGCACTCGCACCACCTCCACCACCACCGCCACTCCCACCACCCCTCCCTCCACCACATCCCCCCTTGGGGCGGCGGCCCTTACCCTGACGAGGCTGCGCTGAGGCCTCTGCGGCGGCGGTCTCACCACCACAGGCTGTCTCAGCGACAGCGGCAGATTTGTCAGAGTAAGTGCACTGGGAGGGAGCACAACACTGGAAGATAGGGACCACCGCAGTACTGCTACACTGAGCGATAGTGCGTTGGCGGGTCTCTATCACGGACAGGGTGGTGACAAAGGTAGTAAGGGTGAGGTCACCTGGGTGCTAACTAAGGAAGTGGTTGCGGGCAGCGGCGAGGCGGTCAGAAAGGCGCGTGGCAATGAGGTAAAGGGTAGCGCAAAGGGGAGGGGGTAATGCAGCGAGCTGGGCCTCAGTGCTAGCAGCGCGGTAGCTAGTCTCAAGGGCGCGTAAATGATTGGCAAGATCAATGACAGTGGGGAAGGACGCAAAATCAGGGAATAGCATGGGAAGGATCAGACGGCTGGCAGAGGCGGAGGAGGGAGTGGAATAGCGCGCAATTACCGCATCTAAGTACTCCTTCGCATTCGCTACAACCGTAAAGCGGGGACGCTCGGACAGGGGGAGTGCGTGGCTGATAGCAAGTTGCGCTACGGCGTCAAGCGACTCCTAGACAGCGCGTGCAAGCTCAGCAGCGGCAAAGGCCTCACGCTCAGCAGACGTGGGGGCGTTAGAGAGGGCAGCAGGCACATCGAGGCAGGGGAGCTTACCGTCGACATGGACAGCCAGGGAATAGCCGTCTTTGCGCTGACCCCTCAGCTGACGGCGGAGGTCGACGAGCCACGCCTCAAAATCAACCGCCCGACCCTCCGCGTCCAGGCAGAGCACAGCGTCTGCCATCACCACAACTACAGCAGCTGACAGCCGCTGGAGGAGGAGGAGAGCGGTGGGGAGCGGTGGAGAGTGGTGGAGAGCGGTTAGGAGCGGTGGAGAGCGATAGAGAGTGGTGGAGGCAGCCGGCGAGAGCGCCTGCGCGGAGTGGGACCAGGACCGGGGAACTGGGACGGCGGGAGCTGGGGTCGGCAGGAGCTAGGGCCGGCGAGAACTCGGGCCGGCGGGAGCTGGGGCCTGCGCTAATTAGGGCCGGCGGGAGCTGGGGCCGGTGGGAGTTGGGGCCGGCAGGAATTGAGGCCGGCAGGAGCTGGGGCCGGAGGGAACTGAGGCCGAAGCAAGCTGGGGCCGGCGGGAGCTGGGGGCCAGCGCGGACTGAGGCCGGCAGGAGCAGAGGCCGGTGGCGCTGGGGCCGGCAAGAGCTGGGGCCGGCAGTTACGGGCGGCTAGCGGCTACGGGCGGCAGGCGGCGACGGGCGGCCAGCGGCTGCGGGCGTGCGGCGACGGGCGGCCAGCTGCGGGCAGCGCGCAGCGACGAACGGGTGGCGGTTACGGGCGGCTGGCGGCTACGGGCGGCTGGCGGCGATGGGCGGCCAGCGGCTACGGGCTCCACGCGGCGACAAGCGGCCAGCTGCGACTGGCGGCCAGTGGCGGTGAGCGGTCAGCGGCGACGAACGGCCAGTGGCGGGCGGCTAGCGACGGCGGCTAGCGACGGGCGGGTAGGGACGGGGAGCGGCTAGCAGCTAGGTGCGGCCAGCGGCGACGGGTGCCCAGCGGCGTGCGGCGGGGCAGCGGCGGGCTAGGAGCCGCGCAGCGCGCTAAGGGGCGAGCGGGCGAGAGCTAGGGCTAGGGCTAGGGCGGAAGCGCAGGTGGGCGGGGAGGACCTAACCTACTGTAGCATGATACCGCCTCAGAGTAACGAATTAACTAGAATGGAGGGTACAGGGCAGGGTGGTTTTGTGCTAGTGTGGTGTACTCTCTAAGAGCTTGCACCTATCTAGCCTATAATAACATATGCATATATGTTTGACATTTTGGTCAGCCAGTTTCGATTTTCAAAAATTGTGCAAAAGGCATGTTCGATTAACGGAATGTGCACATACACAGCAGTCCATTCCGATTGTGCCATCTGGATGTGGAGGAGGGTCGCAAGGAGTCGCACATGCAATATGCAATTTGCGAAGAGGTTGGGGCGAACTGCCACGCGGCTCGGAAAAAACGTGCAAACAGACGAAAGGCCTAACTGCCGTAGGTCGTAGGAATGTACCCTCCAACAGGAAACAGGAGTCCTTCAGAGCCAGGGGGAGTGTCATTTACAAACATTCAGAGGGGAGAGAATGGCCGATTCACACCCCTGAACCAAGGGGTCGGATGCCACAACATACAAGCACACGTGTATGTGCACGCTTCAGTACCTTATGCAGCATCAGTGGGGCCATCCGCCCCGCATCGCCATCCAGCAAACGAGAGCTGCCCATGAGGGGTTGGGGAGGGCGAGTCATCCACAGAAGCACCCAGGGGCGAGAAAATGGCCGACTCACACCGCCGAACCAAGGGATCGGATGTTACCAGGGCAACGGGTGTAACCATCAGGCCTGTCCTACTGCCTGCTACAGGCCTGCGTGTAGAGGCTGCACCCTGAAGACCACCAGCAGCAGCATCGATGCCTCCCACACTAGCAGCAGTACCAGCCACAGCAGCAGCAGCAGCAGCAGCAGCAACAGCAGCAGCAGCTGCAGCTGCAGCTGTGATTCCTCTGTCTACCCTCCCTTCCCTCCCCTCCCTAGTCCCTCGGCCTCTGCTCCTCCCTGTCCTATACCCCCACCCTCCCCCTCCCTTTCCACCACCATTCCCACCATTATCATCACCACCACCATTACCACCACCACCACCACCAACCCCTCCTGTCCTCCTCCTCTCTTCCCTCTCTCGCCTCCTCTCCTCCCTCCCATCCACTCCTCCCACTGCCAACCCTGCCATCCCAGCCATGGCCGGGGAGCTCCTCGACCTATCAAACTCCGCCACGCGGGACGACAGGCTCGGCCGCAGGTTCGGCGATAGGTGCAGCTTGGGCAGGTCCACCCTCAGCCTCCGCATCACATACGCCAGGAGCTCCTCCTTATGTGCAAAGGTGAAATCCAGGTGCGCGTACTCAAACTCCCGGTACGACGCCTGCCGCCCGGCCGCTTTTAGGGTTTTGTAATGCCAGTGGACCATCTCCCGGGGAATAAGACGGTCGCGCCGCCCGGAGACAACGTCGATAGGGATGTCGATGAGGTGGTAGTGCGCGCCGATGTCGACGGGTTCGGTGGTTCCATAGGCTGCAAGGTTGGCGGCGGGTGAGCCGTAATCGAACATGATGAAGCGCTTCTCGCGCTTGGTGAGCGCCAGGTGCTTCATCACGTTGTAGGCGATGCCCGGCATGTTGTACATGTTGTAGTGCGGCTGCCGTAAAGCCCCTACCCAGTCGGATGAGTCGCCCCCTACCAATATATTTGATATGAGAACCTGCGGTGAAGGGGAGAGGGGAGGTAGTAGAGGTGCTTCATGACGTGGTAGGCGATGCCCGGCATGGTGTACATATTGTACTGCGGCTGGCGTAAGCCACCTGAAAATGAGCCGGGTGGGAGAGGTGAGGTTCTGGAAGTCCTGCACGAGCTTGTTGAAGAGCAGGCGCAGGCCCTGGGTGGGGATGTACACATCCCCACAGCTGCGTGTAGTTATCAGGCACGGCATGTAGTTATCACTGACTGATAACTACACAAACAACAGCACACACCTGCACGCACACTTCAGAAATACCTGCACCAGAAATACCTGCACCAGGAATACCTGCACCAGAAATACCTGCACGAGACATCTGAGCGCAGGCAGGTTCTGGAAGTCCTGTGCCAGCTTGTTGAAGAGCAGGCGCAGGCCCTGCGTGGGGATGTAGACGGCTGGCACCGAGTGGGAGAGCCAGGAGTCGACGTACGGCATGAGGAACAGCATGACGTCGAAGAGCAGAGGGGTCTTCTCGTGGTAGCCTGTAGGGAGAAGAGTGGGATGGGAATCAGAATGGGATATGCGGGAGAGGTGAAGCGATGGGATATAGACGGCTGGGATCGAGCAGGAGAGGCAAGAGTCCATGTAGGGCATGAGGCAGAGCATGACGTCGAAGAGAAGCAGCGTTGTTTCATGGTAGCCTGGTGTGGGGCGAAGAGGATGGAAAGCGGAGAATAGGAGAAGGGGTAAGATGTAGGCAGCTGGGACCGAGTGGGAGAGCCAGGCGTGTCAACGTGGAGCAGGAGGAAAAGCATCACGTCCAACAAGGGATGCGCCTTTCATGGTAGGCTGGTGGTAGGGAGGGAGAGAGACGAATGGCAGGCAAGTGGGGACTAAGGGGTGGGTACAGAGGGGTGAGGCAGGGAGTAAGTGAGGCAGGGAGGAAAGAGCGTATTCAATGGAGTGGTACCGCTGCAACAATGCTTGTGGATTCAACGAAGGGGTGAGGAGAGAGGGGGACTCACCTGCAAGGGACAGGAAGATGGACCTGGAAAGGCAGTGGGTTGGGGTTGCTCTCTAATGAGCTGCGTCACGAGGTAGGTCAAATCGTCATGGCTGCTCCGCCCATGCAGTGGGCCAATACTGACATGCACTGATGAGCTTGTTACTTGCACCACAGCTCAGCTGCTGGGGAGAGGAGGATGAGGCGGGAGAGGCGGTGGGGCTGCTTCCTGATGAGCTGCGTCACGAGGTAGATCATCATGGCTGCTCCGCCCAGGCTGTGTGACACCGCCTGCAGATGGTACGGCTGCTGCCCACACGCCATGGATCACTGCTTGGGGGCTAAACGGAGAGGCGAGAAAGAGGAGGGGACTCACCAGCGGGGGACAGGAGGATGAGGCGGGAGAGGCGGTGGGGCTGCTTCCTGATGAGCTGCGTCACGAGGTAGATCATCATGGCTGCTCCGCCCAGGCTGTGCGACACTGCCTGCAGGTGGTACGGTTGCTCCTCACTCCACGGGACCCCCTGCGGCAGCTGCTGAGGCTGTGGTGTCTCTGCTGATGTTGATTCTGCTGTTGCTGCTGCTGCTGCTGCTGTTGCTGCAGCTTCACCTGGTGTTTCCGCTCTTACTCCCCTGCTTCCTTCGTCTCGTCTCGCTCCTTCAATCTTCTCCTTCTCCCTCCTCCCCTCCTCTCTCCTCTCCCTCAAAGCGTCTATGAGCGAAACGGGAGCTGGCCTCACCTCGTGCCACCCTGGCTGCCACGTCATCACGCCATCCTGCATCGTCTGGCTGCCAGGTGTCCACCCAGAATCTGTACCCCTTAGTGACCCGTTCTCAGGCATCCTATTAGCTCCTCCTGCATCGAAACCGTTGGTACTAACAGGGAGTGCACCATCGCTCTGTACAAGCCCTAGGGCATCCAATGCAGCGGATGGGCTTGGCTGCCGCCACTGATGGTGCTCCTGCCTTTGCTGCTGCTGCTGCTGCTGCTGCTGCTGCTGCTGCTGAGGGTATGGGTGCTCATCTGAGTGCAGAGAGAGAGGAGTGAGTGAGTGTAGAGGAGTGAGTGAGGGTGGAGGAGGGACGAGAGAGGGGCGAGGGGGAGGGGCGAGATCGCGTATCTTGGTGTGGTGGATGCAGTCGATCATGGCTCTGATGTCACACATGCCGTGCTCGTTCACACTGTAGCGCCAGTACCTGGTGAGGTGGGGAGGGGACCCATGAGCAGGAGAGCGGGTTGTGAGGCGTGTCGAGATACATTCCAAGTGTCACACATGTCGTGCTCACTCACATGAGATGAGCTGCTTTTGGAGCATAAAAAGAATAATAATAATTTAAAAAACTAACTCGTGCTCATTCATACTGTAGGTATGGCCGATGCATGAAACAAAGGACGGGAATGTAAAATTGTTCAAGAAAACAAACAGATATATAAAATGGATGAAAACGAACAGAAAAGGTGGACGGATAAATAAATATGGCGAACGCTCTCTCTACCTGCTAGCAGAAATGCGCAGGTCGACATGCTGCCTCGAGACGTAGCCCCGCATGTTGCCCAGAAAAACGTCAAAGCCTGCAGCAAGGGGCACGAAAGCGAATTCTGAGATTTCTAAAAAGTCAGGAAAGTGAAGAATGAAGGCCAGCAGAGGTGCTTGGACGCTCCAACATGCATTTCCCAAGGAGTGATAACCCATAACTGACTATGTGGCTGTAACTGCCCTCGATTGGATTCGCGCCTCACCTTGGTCGTATGCTGCAAAGGCCTGCGAGCCCACCACACCATTGGACACCCACCTGCGAGTGTAATCCACACAGAAAACAGCAGAAACATGAGTTGCACTGGAGATGATAAGGGTAATCTATACCTTTTGGAACTTACAAATGGTATTGTTTTGTGGTTTGTGTTATGTGCATAATATGCTTTCGACTTCCCCCACTTAGCTGGGGAAGCGATAGCCTATATTTGTCATTGACAGATGTATGCCATGAGAAAGGATGTGAAACAAAGCAAATATCAATTGTTGTTTTCCATCCTTCGCACGAGTTCTGTAGTCTAATATCTATATTAGACTGCATAATAGGTCCATTTTACACTCTAAACAAGAATGGTACAGAATACTTCATGTTTTATCAACATTGATGTTGAAAAACCATGGGACTTGTGACAAAACAGTATGGTAAGTCTGTGAACTTCACTAGCTTTCGCATGCATTAACTGTCAGTAAAGTCTACATGAATAAAAGCAAATACTTTATAAATATATTGTTTTTTTAAAACAAATTTTGAAGAAAAAAAAATCTCGTCCGATCGATCACAATAGGTTGCTCCGCAACCCCCAAAAAACGATCTCAATGGCAGAGAAGTCTCCAAGGACGACAAGAGGGTGGCAGATTTCAATATTCCGCCACACAAACGACTCACCCGATGGAGCTGTCGAGAATGCCGTGCTGCAGAAACACCACTCTCGACGAGTCCTTCCTCGGGATTCGCTCCAGCGTGAGCACGTAACCGTCCTCAGTTACCACCTTGATGGCCTCGTAGGGGTAGCTGGTGGGGAGGCGGGGGAGTGCAGGGAAAAGTGAGATGCATTTGTGCGTGTGTGTTTGTGTGTGTGTGTGTGCATCTTTTCCCTCCGGATTCGCAGCAGTGTGAGCACGTAACCTCCCTCAAATACCACCTTGATGGCTTTGTAGGGGTAGCTGGCGGGGGGACGATAAAACAGGGAGTGCACGCTCACAGGCATGAGCATGGGTAGAAGAGTGCAAGCACAGCCCGTACCCAGAATCTCGCATGTAGAATAAAGTATTCGCATGTTTGTGCATCCATCAGCCTAGGCCCATGCAACAACTCAGCCTGCCGCAACTGCTGCCGCTGCTGCTGCTGCTGCTGCTGCATGTGTGTGTGCACTCAAACAAAATGAGCACGAAATCCCAGCTCTTACCCAGCATCTCGAATGATATCTTCACATGTCCGTGCGTCCATAAGCCTCGGTCCATGCAGCAACTCAGCCTGTCGCAGCCGCTGCTGCTGCTGCCACCGGCTCTGCCCCTGCTGCTGCTCGTTCTGCTGCTGCTGCCGCTCGTGCTCCTCCTGCTGCTGCATCTGCAGCTGCGACAGGTGCACCGCCGCCGACCTGCTTTCTGGCGCCACATCAGCTGCTGACGCACTAAAAGCTGCAGCACCCCAACGAGCGCCCACACCACCAGCACCAGCAGCACCAGCACCAGCAGCACCAGCACCAGCACCAGCAGCGCTAGCACCGGCAGCAGCAGCAGCACCCCAACCCCCACTACCAGCAGCAGCAGCAGCGCCAGCAGCAGATGTGGCAGGATCAGGTGAAGGCCACAGGCCACTCGAGGGGGTGACTGGCAGCCCCAGAAGGCGCAGCAGCGAGTTGAAGAGAAACGAGAGCAGTCTCCAGGGGAAGAGTAAGAAGAGAATCGCCGACCGCAGCGCGTCAAAGAAGCGCTCGATCACGAGCTCCCAGAACAGCTGCAGATCCTCCAGCACTCCGTGCCTGTGAAGACCGTAAAGGGGGGGATGTGGAGTGGAGGTGGTGAGTCATTCACTCAAAACGCTTCCCTGTGCAACCAGAGGCACCAACCACAGTTGTTAAGAAGTGCTCGATCACGAGCTCCCAGAAGAGCTGCAGATCCTCCAGCACTCCGTGCCTGTGAACACATGCCATGCCTGCATTCCAGAAAGTCATGCACCGGTGAGTCATGCACCAATGAGTCATGCGCCAATGAGTCATGCGCCAATGAGTCATGCGCCAATGAGTCATGCGCCAATGAGTCATGCGCCAATGAGTCATGCGCCAATGAGTCATGCACCGGTGAGTCATGCGCCAATGAGTCATGCGCCAATGAGTCATGCACCGGTGAGTCATGCACCAATGAGTCATGCGCCAATGAGTCATGCACCGGTGAGTCATGCGCCAATGAGTCATGCGCCAATGAGTCATGCACCGGTGAGTCATGCGCCAATGAGTCATGCGCCAATGAGTCATGCGCCAATGAGTCATGCACCGGTGAGTCATGCACCAATGAGTCATGCACCAGTGAGTCATGCACCAGTGAGTCATGCACCAATGAGTCATGCACCGGTGAGTCATGCATTCGAATAAACGAAGATACTTAGGAGAAATGACTCGTTACCTGTAGAAATCGTCGTGGTGGTTCATGCTGAACCTTCCCCCCCTCTTCTCCCCCCCTTTTTTAGTTGGCGCATCGAAGCTAACGCATTACCTGCGGAAGTCGTTGAGGTGGTTCATGCTGAGGTGCGTCATGTGCTCGAACGCACGTGAGCCTGAAAGGAGGGCTTATTCACCTGTGGAAGTCGTTGAGGTGGTTCATGTTAAGATGGGTCATGTACTCGAACACGTCCCCCAGTCGCCGCCCGAGATCCGCACTGGCGATCGACAGCACTAAAAATCAAAACAGACCCCCCTTACCTGCGGAAGTCATTCAGGTGGTTCATGTTGAGATGCGTCATGTACTCGAACACGTCGCCCAGTCGCCGCCCGAGATCCGCACTCGCAATCGACAGCTGGCGCGAGAGGCTGCTGGAGCTGCTGCTGCGGCTGTGCGGGCCGAAATGAGGACTGGGAGAGGGGAAGCCAGCACTTGACGAGGGGCTCCATGCAGGACTGTGTGGGCCACATTCAGTACTGGGAGGAGTGGCAGGAGTAGCAGCAGAAGTATCAGCAGCACCAGCACTAGCAGCAGCGCTACTAGCTCGGGCAGCGGCACTGCTTTCTCCCTCCCAGTCCCTGCTCTTTCTGCCACTGCCACTGCCGCTGCTGCTGTGGGCTCGGCTCAGTGACCCTCTAGCTTTGTACATATCCGGTGCTGCTTCATCTGCAGCCACTGCTGCTCGTTCACAAGAGGCCGCAGCAGCAGCAGCAGCAGCAGCAGCAGCAGCAGCAGCGTCAGCACTGGCAGAAGAGAGGCTGGGCGTGAGATGGGAAGGGGAGGAAGGGGGAAGGGCTGAGGCGGGAGAGGAGGAGGAGGGGAACGGATGAGGCAATTGGTGACTGAGGGCACCATTTAAGCTGCTAGCAGATGTATCTTGAGCATCCAACGGCTGCTGGTTGAGCTGATGGCTCCTAAAGTGTCGCTGCTGCTGCTGCTGCTGCTGGTGATGCTGATGCTGATACTGAGAGTGCTGCTGGTGCTCATGGTGCTGATGGTGGGGCTGGTGTTTCTTCCCATGCCCATCCGCTACCCTGAACCCAAACACCCACAGCAGCGGCCACAAGAAGAACACAACCCACCGCCACAGCCAACCCCAAACCCCGCCAATCCCCCACCCCCCTGAAGCACCCCCCACCCCACTCCGCTCCCCCACTCCACTCCTTTCCCTAGCAAACGGACTAGGAGACCTACTTCGGCCAAAGCTACTGCTGCTGAGGCTAAGGGGGCTGTTAGGAAGCGAGTCAAATGCAGCTGCGTTCCGTCCAACACCAGCACCCATGCTCGTTCTTCTTCTTCGTATTCTTGCCGCCCCTCCCCCCCTGCTGCTGCTGCTGCTGCCGACACTGTGCATGGACGCCGAGTCATCCTCGTTATCGTCCTCCTCGTTATCCGCGTCGCTGTCCTCGTTACTGTCGTCCCCGTTACCGTAGTTGGAGCTGGAGTCGAGGTGGAACTCGTCTATAGTGTCGACGAACTCGTGTAGAAAGGCGTTCAGGGAGGAGCCACCCCTGGTGGAGGGGAGGGGAGAGCAGGACAGCGGAAGAGCAGGACAGAGGAAGAGCAGGACAGAGGAAGAGCAGGACAGAGAAGAGAGAACAAAAGCAAGAGAAACGGATCAGCAAGGGTTGAAGAACGGATGGCAGGGAGGGACGAAGGGGATCACCAGAAACAAAAGCATGGGGGAGAGGGAGAGGGAGAGGGAGAGGGAACGAGAGAGGGAGAGGGAACGAGAGAGGGAGATGCGGAAGGGGAAAACCGATATGCGAATATGAGAGGGAAACAGAAGCGAATTCTATGCACTGCGCCATCCACGCGGGGAGGCGTGCGGAGCGGAAGGTGCGGCGGAGTGACTCTCATGCCGACTACACAGAAGCCTACTTGCTGCGCCATCCGGGCAGGGGGGGAAGGGAAGGGGGGGTACTTACTGCGCCATCCGGGCAGGGGGGGAAGGGAAGGGGGGGTACTTACTGCGCCATCTGGGGAGGGGGGGGAAGGGAAGGGGGGGCACTTACTGCGCCATCCGGGCAGGGGGGGGAAGGGAAGGGGGGGTACTTACTGCGCCATCCGGGGAGGGGGGGGAAGGGAAGGGGGGGTGCTTACCGCGCCATCCAGGCGAGGAGGCGCGGGGAGCGGAAGGTGGGGCGGAGGTCCCAGGAGCCATGGAGGCCCTCGGTGATGGGCGACTTGTTGGGCAGACACGCGAGGACCAGCGCTGACGCCGAGTTGACTCATGCATCCATCACTACCATATCACTGATCACCTGAATCAAATCTACTTACTGTGCCATCCAGGCAGGGAGCGGTAGGGAAGGGGGGCTACATATCCAGCTGATCTTACACACTGCACCCGTCCAAGCAGGGAGACACAGGGAGAGGGGGTGGGAGGAGGGGGGAGGAGAGGGGAGGAGACGGGGGGGAGAGGGGGGAAGTGGGGGAGGAGGAGGGGGACCAGGGGGTACGTACTGCGCCATCCAGGCGGGGAGGCGCGGGGAGCGGAAGGTGGGGCGGAGGTCCCAGGAGCCATGGAGGCCCTCGGTGATGGGCGACTTGTTGGGCAGACACGCGAGGACCAGCGCCGACGCCGAGTTGACGAAGTTGGCCGTGTTGTGAAACGCCTCGCGCGATGCTGCTTTGACAGACCTGTCAACGGACGAAAAACGTGACGGAAAACGTGACGGAAAAGGGTGAGTTCACGCGTTGTGGCTTCGGTAATAGGGCGAATTGTTGGGCAGCCACCCCGGCATAAGAGCTGCCGCGGGATTAGACGAACTTCGCCATGTTGACTAGCGCCTGGCGTGGCGCCGCCTTGACGGACATGACGGAAAACGTCTAAATGGAAATCAGACGGAGAGCCCCGCTGGGGTAAAAGTCTACGAGGAGCGTCTACGCAAAAACTGGAAAACAGTTAGCCATGCTCATACGGTGTCGACGCTTGTAATCGTACGCGATAAAAAATGCTGGAACCAGCACCGTACGATGTAAGTGAGAAGGAAGAGAGCGAAACGGCTTGCTTAGACATATCTGAGATGGAGTGCGTAGAAACGACACGGCCATGCTCGAACTCACCGTGGCGAGGAGGGGGGATAGAGGGGGGGGAGCCCGGGGGGAGGGGGAGAGGGGGGGGAAGGCGAACTTACTCCTTGGCGACCCCTACGGCATGATCCACTACCCGCTGAATCCTTCGCCTCTAGAATAAACGGCCTCAAGTTTCTCGTGATGAAGGGAGAAAAAGGCGAGCGAGGAGACAGGGAAACGCGAACTTACCGTCCTTGGCGACCCCTACGGCATGATCCACTACCCGCTGCATCCTTCCGTTCTAAAGTGGACGTCTCAAGCTTCTTGTGAGGATGGGAGGAAGCGGTGTGCGAAAAAAGGGAAACGCGAACTTACTCCTTGGCGACGCCTACGGCATGATCCACTATCCGCTGCATCCAGGTCGCTGCTGAGGGACAGGTCTTCGAACGAAACACCGAGAAATCAACGATAGCGGTCCTCTTACTCGGTCCTCTGGCCTTCAGTTAATCGACGAATTCAACGTTAGCGTCCCCTTACTCGGTCTCTGGCCGTCCTTCCAACCCCAGTGGAAGTCTCAAACGAAAAAGGGGAAAAGTAGACGGTAATTGTTCCTCGTCCTTCACCTACTCACTAAACGATTAAGCGAAGGGTTGCAACGGGAGAAACGCGACATGTCCAGTGCTCAGCTAGACGGTTCTATGACAGGCTTGTGGATTCAGCGACAGAGCTGATGATAAAGATGCGAGGAACGCGTCTCCCGTGCGAGGGATTCGTGGTCGTAGCTTTGAAGTGTCTCTGGGATGGTCGCTGGAATGAATGGTCGCGGAAATGGCCGTTGAGATGGTTGCTGGGATGGTTGTCCCACCTCGGTGATCCAAGCCAAGGAAGTTTGTGCTCGGTCTGGATCAGCGAAAGTACAGGTGTGGCCTGTTTGTTCAAGTCCTGTACTTGTCTGACACCCAGGCCCTATTCAGCCAATAGTCACTGAGCACTCGAGGTACGAAATCCGTACCGCCTGCTTGTGAATGCATCTGACCTGCACCCAGGGAACACACTTGCAAATTGCGGTTTCACGATCGCTTGTAGTGATAAAGTACCCTATGTTCGAAAACAAGGCAGAAACGAAGTTACTTTGCTACGCCCCCTTGCCCGGACCAGAAGCACCTGCTTTCGACAAGCATTGATGCCTCGGTTCCACCGAGCCTGCGGCTTTTGCTTTTGTTCTCCAGCTAAGCCAATCGTGAGCTACACATCACACTGGACCGTTGCCAGCAGGGCTGGTTCGGCATGCACGAGGAAGGTGGGGCGGGGAATAGCCATGCGCGCTGGCGCTGACATGGATGGCGGGGAGACAAGCTGTAAAACCTCTGATATAAAGAATTCTCTACAGTTGAAAAGTCTCCTACTCATGTAGAATATATTTTCGTTTTTCTTACAAGTCTTTTAGAAAATAAATGTTCCCATCCCAGCTCCTCGACATGATCGAGCGACTCGTTTTCAAAAGGCTTCGAATCTCACCTTGTCGAAACCATGTCGAAGTGATACAGCGCGGCCGCCCGCTGCCGTAAGTAAATGCTGGTCAAGTTCCATTTCGCTTGCTGATTATTCTCTCACTGTCTGTTTAGGGCCACACTCCCAAATATCGTCCTCTACCTTCGATCAATTACCCGTTCCATTCGCACGGAGCAAGCCGCAGTAGCTTGTGACAGTAACAACCTGTGACAGTAGCGAGGGGGTACGAGCAAGCATGTCGAGCATATACGTGCTCGAGCCACCGACGCAAGGCAAAGTAGTGGTTACCACCACCCTTGGCGACCTCGATATCGAGCTCTGGCCACGTGAAGCCCCCAAAGCGGTGAGTTTACATACCTTGGTAACCTTCCCTGTGGTAACCACCCTGTGGTAACCCTCGCTGTGTTACCACCACCCTTTTCGACCTAGATATCGAGCTTTTGCAGCGTGAAAGCCCTTCCTGGCAGCGCTTCTCTGGTAACCAGTACCATTGTAACAGCCATTGGTTACCGTGACTACAGTAACCAGAACCACCACGTTCAATAACCCTGATGTGGACTCGTAAAGCCCCTAAACCGGTGAAATTCCACCGATGCGTAGTCAACTCTGGAAACTAGTAGTGTGGTAACCACAACCACCACCTCGGTTGACCTTCATATTGAGCTGTGGCAGCGTGGAGTCCCTAGAATGGTGAGCTCCCCTCTCTTTCCCCCCTTGTTCCCCGTTCTCCCCCCCCCTTCCCCCCTTGTTCCCCCCCCCCCCCCCCCTTGTTCCCCCTCTTCCCCCCCCCATCAGGTCCGCAATTTCGTCCAGCTGTGCTTGGAAGGGTACTATGACAACACCATATTCCACCGCATCATTCCCGGCTTCATGGTGCAGGTGAGATCTGGTGCAGGTGAATTCTGGTGCAGGTGCCTTGAGAGCTGGTGAGACCCCGTGCAAGTACCATGTGGTGCAGGCATGATTAGGCTCGGCTGTGCTTGGAGGGGTACTATGACAACACCATATTCCACCGCATTATTACTGGCTTCATGGTGCAGGTGAGATCTGGTTTTAGTACCACCTGGTGCTGGTGAGACCTGATGCAGTATTAGGTGCCAGCTGTGCTTGGAGGGGTACCATGGCAACACCATATTCCACCGCATCATTACTAGCTTAGTTTCATGGTGCAGGTGCGATCTGATGGAGGTGAGATCTGGTGCAGGCATGATTTGGTTCAGCTGTGCTTGGAAGAGTACTAGCACAATCAACAACATGTTCCACCGCATCATTACTGGTTTCATGGTGCAGGTGAGAACTGGTTAAGTACCACCTGGTGCAGGTGAGACCTGATGCAGTATAAGGTGTCACTGTGCTGGGAGGGGTACTAGGACAATGCCAAATTCTATCACATCATTACTGGCTTCATGATGCAAGGGATATCTGGTTCTGGTGGCATCTGGTGCAGTGTTAGGTTCAGCTTAAATCAGAGGGGTTCTACGACAGGACACTACCCCAGAACAGCATTTCCAAGTTCGGCTGTGCTTTCCTGTTGCTGAGGTTTGCCGGCTCCTTGCACTATTCTCTGCCCTTCCCTGTGTCTGCATTTTCTCTTGTTCTGTAGGATGGGGATTCAACCAGTTCAGACAGGGGGGGGGTGGGGGTGGGGGGGAAGGGGGATCTATTTTTGGAGAACTGTTCAAGGACAAGTTTTGTTCTCAGCTGTGATTCACCTGTTGCTCGATTTTCTTCTCCTGCGTTTATTTTCCAGGGAGGAGACTCAGCAGTTTCGGGCACACGATACGAGTCTTTTTCCGAGGAACCTTTTTACGACGAGTTTCATTTGTGGCTGCAATCTTCCTGTTGCTTATTTAATTTACGCAAATGCATGGATTCTGCAGGGCGGAGACCCAACTGGTTCAGGCACGGGCGGGGAGTCCATCTACGGGGAGCCATTCAAGGACGAGTTTCACTCGCGGCTGCGCTTCTCCCACCGCGGGCTCGTCGCATGTGCCAATGCGAGCGCACCTCACAGCAATGGCAGCCAGTGGTTCTTCACTCTGGACCGATGCGACTGGCTGGACAAGAAGCACACCATATTTGGCAAGGTGCGCTGGCATGCATAGGTGCACTAGGATGTATGTATGGGGAAGCACTGGGAGGGCTCGTCGTGTGCTCCAGTAGGGGGGCGCCCCACAGCAATGGCAGCCAGTGGTTCTGGCAAGGTGGGTTGCTTGCCAGCTTTAGCAAGGTGGATTGCCATATTTGGCATTGGCAAGGTGCGCTGGCATGCCTTTATGGGCTGGCAAGGGAGGGGTGGTGGCGTGTGCCAGTGCGGGCACGGCCCACAGGAACAGCCACCAATGGTTCTTTACTTTAGACGGATGTGATTGGGTGGACAAGAAGCACACCATCTTCGGCAAGGTGCGAGTTTCAGTCAGTGTCACAGGCTAGTACATCCGCCTCCCCCTCCTCCCTTCCCCCCTCCCCGCAGATCACAGGCAACACGATTTTCAATGCGGTGCAGCTGGGGGAGGTGGATACTGTTGACAACGAGAGGCCTCGCACTCACCCCCCTCACGCATTTGTTTCTCCCTCTCTCACGCACACGCCCACATCCATACATGCATAGATCACCGGTGACACCATTTTCAACGCGGTGCGACTGGGGGAGGTGGATACTGACGACAATGACAGGCCGTTTGATCCACCATCAATAATCAGTGTGGAGGTGAGTCAGCATGAGTCAGCACGAGTCAGCATGAGTCAGCATGCGTCAGCATAGTCGGCATGAGTCAGCATGAGTCAGCGTGAGTCAGTATGATTCGGCACGATTCAGCACAAGTCAGCACAAGTCAGCAGGGGTCTGGAGGAGTCAGCACGAGTCAGCACGAGTCAGTACGAGTCAGCTCAATTGTAATAGCACTCTGCCACATGAGGTATTCGTAGTACCATCCCGAATGGTGTCATCTCATCTCAACCGTATGATGTCATCTTTCCCCATTCATCTGGTGATCTGGATCCCAATATAGGACATCGTTCCCAGGAGACTGTGTGGCAGGCAGTAGTAGATCGTACCACCTTTACAGTGTCCCATCAACAATGCATTGCCATCTCATCCCCCACGCAACCCCTCCTTCAGCTCATCTGGAACCCAATCAAGAACGTCTTTCCCAGGAGACTGCCTGCCAGGCAGCAGTAGATCACTCTATCAACTTTACAGTGTCCCATCAACAAGGCACTGTCCAGTGTCCCATCAACAAGGCACTGTCACCTCATCCCCCACGCAACCCCTCCTTCAGGTCATCTGGAACCCCTTCGAGGACATTGTTCCCAGGAGACTGCCTGCTAGACAGCAGCTAGAAGCTGCAAGGAAGAGCAAAGGCAGGGACAAGAACAAGCGGAGGCACCAACCGCAGGTCAAAGGCACCAAGTAAGTTCTGACACGCCTCAAAACAAGCGTCAAAAGAGGAATGTTGCCTCAAAACAGGAAGTTCCCGTTGGATAGGATAGCAGCAAGAAGCTGCGCAGAAGAGCAAAGGCAGGGACAAGGACAAGCGGAGGCAACAACCGCAGGTCAAAAGCACCAAGTAAGTAAAGCTAAGCGTCATTAGCGATTTCTCTCTTTAATTGTCCATGTGAGCGAGCCGGCCCCATTACCAAGTAGATCAGGTTATCATGAGCCTCTTGACCTTCTCTAAACCCTCATGCCTTGTTGATCCTCTTTTTAAACATACCCCTGTTGTCTCCCCTACTTGTGTTAATCAGCCAGTTGAACCTCCTCTTGTTTGGCGAGGATGTGGAGGAGAAGGAGGCTCAAGGCTGTGCTATATTTGCCTTGGCCCCCATTGCCCTTTTTGACCCCATACCCCCCCGCCCCATCCTCCCCCCCCACACCCCCCCCCACCCCCTTCCCCTCCCTCCCCCCTCCTACTTCTGTTAATCAGGCTGTTGATTGAACCTCCTCTTGTTTGGCGAGCAGGCAAGGAGGAGGAGGCTCAAGGCTGTGCTATCTTTCCCCCCGCCCCGCCCCCTCCTCTCCCCCCAATCCCTTACCCGCCTTCCCCCTCCTACTTTTGATGATCAGGCTGTTGAGCATCATCTCGTTCGGCGTGGAGGCGGAGATGGACGTTAAGGCTGTAGTACCTCATCTCGCCCTTGCCCTTTTTTACCCATATATCCCCCCCCCCCACCCCACCGCCTCCACCCGCCTATGTTCTCAATCAGGCAGCTGAACCTCCTCTCGTTCGGCGAGGAGGCGGAGGAGGAGGAGGCGCAATTAGAAGAGGCGAATCTGCGGATCAGAAGCAGCCACGACGTCCTCAAGGACCCCAGGCTGCTGGCTGTGAGTGCAACGGATGGGGGGAAGGGGCGGGAGGGGGAGGGGGCAGGGAGGAGGCTCAATTGGAGGAAGCAGATCTGTGGATCAGAAGCAGCCACGACGTGCTCAAGGACCCCAGGCTGCTGGCTGTGAGTACTGCTGGGGGCTAAAGGTTGCTGGTTAGGGTAAATCATAGGGGGAAGGGGAGGGCAGAGGGGTCTCAGCTGGGGGGAGGCGAATTCTCCAGATTACAAAGGGTGCTCAGAAGCAGTCGTGAGGGGGAGGCTGCACGCCGCCCCATGAGGCGAATTTGAAGGCTGCTGGCTGTGAGTAAATGGGTTGAAGCTCAGAAGACTTCAGTTATCATCTGTGCGATAGAGATGTCATAGAGATTCTTCTGAAAACCATGTCTTTTGTTCTTTTTGCTGTCCCTCGCCCCGCGAAACAGCAGTCATTTCAAGATTCTGGGAAGAGAAGTAGATTATTCGTTCTGCCTTCACTAAGCGATTCTTGTCCCCCTCCAGATTCCTGTCAAGCGATTCGCTTCCTTATTCCCCAGGAAACAGCAGCCGTGTTGAGATTCTGGGAAACAAACTAGATTATTGATTCTTCCTTCACTATGCTGCCCCTTGCGGATTCTTATTATGCGATTCGCTTCCTTATTCCCAGGAAACAGCAGAGGCGGTTCAGCAGAAGTTGGCCTCTCGGGGAGGGGACTCAGAGGGGGAAGAGGAGGAGGAGGAGGAGAGTGGGCGAAGAGAAGGGGAGAGGCTCAGTAGAGGGAGAGACAATGGCAAAGAAGGGGACAGTGCTGGTGGTGCCATTGGGAGCGGGAGGGGGAGGAAGGGAGAAGAGAAGGGTGGAAAGAGTGGTGATAGGGGTGGTTTAGGGGATTCAGAGGACGAGAGGGGCAGGGGGAGAGAAGGCAGGGAGGGGAGAGGAGGCGAGGGAGAAGGGGGAGGAGAGAGGGAGGGGGGAGGAGAGGGGGAGGAGCCTAGCTTTGATGAGTTGATGCGGCGGAAAGTGCTGGAGAAGCAGCGGCGGTTCTTGAAGGGGGTGGAGAAACAGGGAGGTGCGAATGAGGGAGGGCGGAGTGGAGAGAAGAAAGGGAGGGGAGGAAAAGGAGAGGGAGGGGAGACGGGTGGGGAAGGTGCAACAAGAAAACATGATGGGGCCGGTGTGAGGGAACGGGCGAAGGAGGAGGAGGGGGGTGGGGGTGATGGTGACAGTGATGGTAGTGATGGGAGTGATGAGGAGGGGGAGGGAAGAGGAGGGAAGGGGAGAGTGAGGGTTGAGAAACTGCGGTTAAGGAAGGTGGTGGGGAAAGGAGGGGGGAAGGGAGGGGGGGAGGAGAGTGCGGGGGGAGGGTTGTTGGGGGAGGAGGAGGAGAGAAGGCAGCAGATGAGGCAGAGGAAAAGAGCACTGGGCTCTCGACAAGAGAAGGTGTGACTGATTTTCTTTTTAGATTGAGTTCTTTTAACGCGTGTGAAAACAACATTAGGCTGTGACTTGTTAGGGGAGGAGGAGGAGAGAAGGCAGCAGATGAGGCAGAGGAAAAGCGCACTGGGTTCCCGACAAGAGAAGGTGAGAGAGGGGCGTGGAACATTGGGAGTGGTGGGCCATTGTGACTTGTGTGGTCGATCGATAGGGGTGTGTGCGAATGATTGAACTGATCAAGTTGAAGCTAACCGCATCCAATTCCCCTTTTCCTCCCTCCGTTTTTCCTTCCCCGTTGCTGCCTCCCACCCTTCCCTCCTTTTCCTCCCTCCGTTTTCCCTTCCCCCTACCCTTCCCCCACTCCATCCCCAGACTCTCGAACTGCTGAACCGGTTCAAGTCGAAGCTAACCGTGCCCAAGTCCGTGCAGCAGAGGGAAACCCATGCGGACAAGGACAGGGAGAGGGTTGTCCTAAAGAGACATCTCAAAGAATCACTTTCACCCTTTCACCCTTCTCCCTCAGACCCTTGAGCTTCTGAACCGGTTCAAATCGAAGCTAACCGCGTCCAAGTCCGTGCAGCAGAGAGATACACATGCAGACAAGGGCAAGGGATTTGCAGCAGATGAGGGGGCATTGGGGGGCGGAGAGGAGAAGACGGAAGGAGAGAGAGGCGGGGATGGCAGCAGCAGGAGAGGGGAGTCGTTGGAGTCAGGAAAGAAGAGGGAGGCGGGGGCGTATGGGCCGGGGGGGAAGGCGAGGCAGGATGTGGGAGGGGAGGGGGTGGAGGATGATGCAGAGGAGGGTGGGGGTGTGGATTGGATGGCTCACAGGCTGAAGTTCGAAGTGAAGCGGAACAAGAGGGTGAGTCTAAGGTGGTGTGAGAGGGTGATTTGGAGGGGATGTTGATCAAGAGCGTGCATCTTTTGATTCGACTCAAAAGAGCGTGCATCTAGGGTGCTGTGAAGGTGGTGTGGATTGGATGGCTCACAGGCTCAATCAAGATCGAAGTGAAGCGGATCGGAGGGTGAGCTTGGGGTGGCAATGCCGGGAATGGCTTGGGATGGCTTGGAATGGTAAACAGGGACGGGTTTATGGTTTTGAGGCGCCTCATGCCGCACATGGTGATATGGTTGCCCCTCACGCGGCACGTGGTGATATGGTTGCCCCTCACGCGGAACATGGTGATATGGTTGCCCCTCACGCGGCACATGGTGTGTGTGTGTGTGTGTGTGTGTGTGTGTGTGTGTGTGTGTGTGTGTGTGTGTGTGTGATGCTGGGATCCCTTCGTCCGTGCTCCCCACCCCCGAGAACAGTGTGAGTTGGAGAGGTATGTGTGGTAGTGACCACCCCTCTCCCTGCGCAGCGAGCAGTATCTGCAGCGCACGACCCTCAGCACTAACACGCCTCACATATGCCCCTTCGGACCCCTGTACTGGTGTTTTCCGACTTCAGGATGAGATGCTGCACAACAAGGACCCAGACCAGTACACGGTGCACAGCCCATTGTGGGTCACACCTCGGCTCCTTTCCCTTTCTTTCTGCCCCTCACCTGTCCCTGCGCACCCCCCCACTCTCCTTTCCCCCTTCAGGACGAGATGCTCCGCAACGAGGACCCCGACCAGTACGCAGTGCACGACCCGCTGCTGGAGAAGGGCAAAGAGAAGTTCAACAAGATGCAGGCCAAGGCGAAGAAGAGAAATAGAGAGTGGGCCGGTCGATCGCTGGACTGATTTGGACTTGCTCGAGGAGTTCACGAAGTTGCAGACCAAGGCGAAGAAGCGCAACAGAGAGTGGGCTGGCCGCTCTCTGGACTAGCGAGGACTCGTATTGAGTCTTCTTCAAAGGAGAGGCTCAGCCAGATGCAGACCAGGGTGGAGGTCAACAAGATGCAGGCCAAAGCGAGGAAGTGGAACAGGTTGTAGGCTGGCCGTGCGTGCGGTGCGGAGTGTATTTTTGAGGCGCCTCAAAAATAGACTCCTCAGGTGAGGAAGTGGAACAGAGAGTAGGCTGGCTGGTCTCTCGACTACGTAGATTACATGCGATTTTCTGCAGCATGCTGTGCGCGCTGCATGACCCTTTGTTTTAGAAAGGCAAGGCTGTCAACATATTGATGTATATTGGTTGAGGCTGGATAGGTGCATGCATGCTATAGTGAGTACAACACCTAGCACAAAACTACCCTGTACCACCCTTCCTAGTTCAATTCGTTACTTTAAGATGGTATCACGCTAGGTTAGGCCCCCCCTCCCCGCTTACACTTCCGCCCCTGGCCCTAGTCCTAGCCTTAGTAGCGCCGCGCCGCGCCGCGTCGCCCTAGCCGCGCCGTGCCCTATCTCTAGGTGCATTAACTCGCCCTAGCCTGCTCTAGCTGCCCTAGGTCGCCCTCGCCGCGGTAGCTCGCTGGCCCCACGCTCGTCGGCCCTTCGCACGCTGGCCCCGCGCCCGCCGCCAGCCCCGTGCTCGCCGACCCCATGCTCGCCAGCCCTGCGCTCGTCGACACTGCGCTCGCCGGCCCCTAGCTCGCCGGCCCCGCGCTCGCTGGCCCCGCGCTCGCTGGCCCCTAGCTCGTCGCCCCCGTGCTCGCCAGCCCCGCGCTCGCTGGCCCCGCGCTCATCACCCCCGTGCCCGCCAGCCCCGAGCTCGCCGACCCCACGCTCGCCAGCCCTGCGCTCGTCGACCCCGCGCTCGCCGGCCCCTAGCTTGCCAGCCCCTAGCTCGCCGGCCCCGTGCTCGCTGGCCCTGCGCTCGTCGGCCCCTAGTTCACCGGCCCCGAGCTCGCCCGCCCCGTACTTGCTGGCCCCGTGCTCGCTGGCCCCGCACTAGCCGGCCCCTAGCTCCCCGGCCCCTCGATCGCCGGCCCCTTAGCTTGCCGGCCCCTCGCTCTCCGGCCCCAGTTCGCCCCGACCCCAGTCCCGCCGTGTCGCCATGCCGCGGTGCCGCAGTACCGCTGCAGTGCTGCCGTGCCACAGTGCCGCTGTGTCGCCGTGGCACCGTGCCGCTGTGTCGCCGTGCCGCCGTGCCGCCGTCAGCAACTGAGGTCGTGGGATGGCGAACACTATGCTCCGCCTGGACGCGGAGGGTTGGGTGATCGACTTTGAGGTGTGGCTCGCCGACTTTCGCCGTCACCTGACAGGTCAGTGCCAGGCGGTTACTCCTTGGCTATTCATGTGGATGGTATGCTTCCCCACCCAGCCGCACCTTTTGCCCTCCCTAATGCCCCCACCACTGCTGAGCGTGAGGCCTTTTCCGCTGTTGCGCTTGCTCGCGCTGTCAAGGAGTCGCGCGACACCGTAGCGAATCTTGCTATTACAGTGACGGAAGAAATTGTCCACATCTCAGCCTCTCTAGGCGAATAATAGTGTGTAGTGTTTAGAGATGCAGCTTATTAACTGCCAGGTTTTAAGGCAGAGCTAGACATATGCCTATACAAGAATGTCTAGCTCTGATAATTCAGTATAATGTGCCTGGGCAAAATCCATACACACACAAGTACACTCGGACAGTTTGTGCCATGTTCAAAGTATGCAAAAGTATTTCCCTTAGCCCTAACCACCGCCTTCACCCTCCTAGGCATACTATCAATGAGCCCCCTGCACACATCAGCATGTATCCCCTCCTAGATCTCTTGGATCCGCTCCCAAGTCTGGAGCATTCCTGAGGGGGGTTGCTCATACTTGGACAGCTCGCATTTGAGATGGGCCCACAAGTGCTCGATGGGGTTGAGATCAGGGGATGAAGAGGGCCACAGTAGGACTAAATATTCCTGCTCTGACAACCACTCCTGCACAAGGCGGGACTTGTGCTTGGGGTCATTGTCATGCTGGAAAATGACATCAGAGGTGGTAAGGTCATAGAACTCAATGGTTTGTGCAAGCTCATCTTGCAAGATGCTTTGATACAGCTGCCCGTCCATACGACCGTCGATTTTACACATGTATCCAGGGCCATCGTACGTCCTGCACCCCCATATCATGACAGACCCACCCCCATGCTTAACTGTTTGCTTCATGTGTTGCCCTTGAAGAGGCGCCCCGTCGCGAATCCATGCATACGTCCGGCCGTCACTACAGAAATGGTTGATCTTGGTCTCATCAGACCAGTCCACCCGTTTCCAGTCGTCCAAGGTCCAGCCAAGGTGGGCCTTGGCGAAATCCAGTCCGTCTCTGATGTTACGCGCGGAGAGACGTGGCTTCTTCGGTTGTTGGACGGCGACTAGGCCGGACAGTTTGAGGGCGTTGCGGACTGCTCTGGGGCAGATCTTAATGCCATGGTCTGTTTCCAGTAGCTTTGCGGCTTCTACGCTAGTCTTCACCTCGCCAGAAGTCACAGCGCGAACAAGGATCCGCCTGTCACGTACTGAGAGCAGGCGCGGTCGGCCAGACCTCGGGACTGTTGGCCCAACCGCTAGGCTGCAGGTGCGCTGAGAGGCCTCTTGAGCGTATTTCTGAACTGTGCTCTTCCCTATCCCTAGCATTCTAGCGATCTGACGGAAGCTATGACCGTGTCGAAGCAAGGTCGCGATCCTATCTTTCTGTTGCTAGGAGCCTGGCGGGGTTCACGTTATGCCGTCGATAAAGACAAGGAGGTTAGGTTTGCGAGATCGTGAAATGCCGAGAGAAAATAGACCTAGACTCGAATCGGGAGCTAATTGTCCGCATCGAGTCTCGCTAGCAAAGTGGTGAACTCACTATAAGCAGTTCGATAAACAATACAATACCATGCAGCATAAGGATGCTTCACTCCTTAGTCACATGATACAATGGGTACTTGGGGATGAATGTACACTAAACATGCTAAAAATACACAATCTTTAGACTTGTGTAACTTTTCAAGCCCAATTAATTCCGTCGCTGTAGTTACGCCCTCCTTCTATCTGAGCGTCCTTGCTTTACCACTGTAGCAAATGCCAAGGAATTCTTAGATGCAGTCGTTGCGTGCTATTCCACGCCCACCTCAGCCTTTGCTGGCCGCCTTATCCTCCCCATGCTGTTACTTGATCTTGCGTCCTTCCCCATAGTCGCTGACCTTGCCACTCACCTCCGTGCACTTGGGACTAGCTACCGCACCGTAAACACTGAGGCCCAACTCACTGTCTTCTCGCAGCCACTTTGCGCTACCCTTTATCTCATTGTCACGCGCCCTCCTGACTGCCTCGCCACTGCCTGCGACCACTTCCTTAGTCAGCACCCAGGTGACCTCACCCTTACCCCCTTTGTCACCGCACTGTCTGCTGTAGAGACCCGCCAGCGCACTATCGCTCAGTCTAGCGGTACTGCGGCAGTCCCTATCTTCCAAGGTTGTGCTCCCTCCCAGTGCACTTATTCTGACGTCTCTACTGCTGTTGCTGAGACAACCCATGCTGCTGGGATCGCCGCTGCGGCCTCAGCGCAGCCTCATCAGGGTAGGGGTCGCCGCCCCAAGGGGGGGTGTGGCGGAGGGAAGGGTGGTGGGGGTGGTGGGCGTGGTGGAGGTGGGGACGGGGACGGTGGGTCATACGAGGGGACCGAGGCTGGTGCCCCGGAGGAGCAGCAGCAACAGAAGCAGCAACCTCAGTAGCTGAAGCAACCTCAGAAGCAACAGCTTTGGCAATTGAAGCAGCAGTCGCAGCAGCAGCAGCAGCAGTCGCCGTGGGGACCCCCGCCGCCGTGGTGGCCTGGCGGCGCTGGTGGTGGTCGTCGTGGTGGTGGGGCGCGCAGCTCGGTGCTGGGTGGCAGCTCCAGTGTGGCCACCTGTCAGTACTAGCTTCAGTCTGGCCCCTGTCGCGGCACCGTCTGCGACCGTCCCGGTCGCACTGCTGCCCGCTGCTACCGCCGTCTCGACGACCTCGTCTGTCTCTGCTTCGGTCCCACGTCGGACCCTCCTGACTGGTATGCCCTGGTGCGCCGCCGTGTGCCTGTTTTTGAGCTTGACATGTATCAGATTAGGAATGCTTTGTATGTCATGTATGCTGATGACTCTAGTGTGACTGGACCCTATTACACGGTGTTACCTAGTGTAGGTTCCCCTGCGGCTCCAGGCATAGGACCCCCTGCCTTGTTTAGCCTAGGCCCAATGCTAGCCTCTCCGCCGGCTGACGTTACTGCTTCGCTCTCCTTTACGCTCGACTATGGTGCATCCGTCTGCTTCTTTCGTGACCACACTGCGCTCACGCCGCTTGCTGCCCCCGCCGCTATAACGCTTGCTGACCCCTCATAAGTTCCGGTAGTTGCCCGTAGCTCCACTACCCTTCCCTGTCCGGCTGTTCCCTCGGGCTCTCTTCCAGGCTTGCACATCCCCGTTCTCTAGGAACCTAGTTGGTGTCGGCTTTCTTCAGGACCTGAGCGTCACCATTACGTTCCCTGGACACGAGCGGTTTGCTATCTGTACCGAGGCCGCCACTGGTGCCCCTATCACAACGTTCCCCCGGGACCTCGTGTCAGGCCTGTTCACCCTAGACACCGAGTCCCCCCCCCCCCGTAGGAGCGTCCCCCTATGTCGCCGCGTCCTCCCAGGTTGCAGCAGCCTGCTTGTGTCGGCCGCTCACCCACCCGCTGCTACTGCTGCATAGGTCACCCCGCATTCCCGCGTCTGCATTACATGCCCTATCACAGTCTTGTCTTCGGTCTCCCTATATCGTTCCCAGCCCTACCTCCCTCGCGTGTGCCACCGTGCACGCCCTCCGTCAAGGGCCGGCTGCGCTGTGCTTCTCACTCCTCCTCGATCCCCCCTACTACTGTGCCACTCCAGACCCTGCACCTGGACGTTTCGGGCCCAGCCCTCGTCCCTGGGCCGCATAAAGAGCGCTACTTTCTAGTGCTTGTGGATGACTACACGCTCTACACCACGGTGTTTCCCCTGGAGCAAAAGGCCGACGTGCCTGGCATTCTTATCCCGTGGATCGTAGCTGCACGAGTCCACCGAGGCCTCCCTGTGCTGCGTCTTCACTTCGACCGTGGCGGCAAGTCCGCCTTTAGTTGGCTTGGTCAATTCTGACGTGCGCAGGGCATTACCCATTCGTACACCCTGCCGGACTCCCCGCAGCAGAATGGCGTCGCTGAGCGACACATCGGTTTGGTCATGGAGGTGGCTCGTACCTCCATGATCCATGCCGGTGCACCCCATTTTCTGTGGCCGTTCGCTGTTCGCTACGCCGCTCACCAGCTTAACCTATGGCCGCAGTCCCAGCGGCCGCAGGTTTCGCCGA